ATTTAAAATCAAGTAACGCTTTTGGTCATAAATTGAACACATGAAAATCAATTCACTTTCTCTCTATATGCATCATTTTTCTTTGAGACCAATATCAATCTAAGATTAAATTTTTATTTAATTTGGCGTGAATATTAGAAATCCTGTTATACCTCCCAACGTCAAAATCATATTCTTACTTATAAGTTACTTATAGCTTATCTCACCTGCTTTAAGAAAAAATAATCATTGAGAGAAAGGTAATGTTACTTTAGCAATATCTTTCAAAAGAGTTTACCTAAAAATATCAATTTGTCTAGCTAATAATCTGTCAGAATACTTCGTATGGAAACAGCACAGTAGCTCATATTCTAGTTTACGTAAAACCATTAATTAAGAAAATGAATATTTAAAGGAGAATAAAACATTTTTCTGACCTGTGTTTGGTAGAAATGTGTGAACTGTGTTTGGTAGACCTGTGTTTGGTAGCTTTGAAAAAATGTACGCATTTGATTAATGAAAAGGAATGGTACATGTGTCAGTTTTTAAGTCGGGCTGGGAGTAATTAGAGAGCCTTACTATTCTCTACAGCAGAGAGGATTTTTTAAAAATTATTATTGTCATTTATTTCGTGAAGAGTTAATGAACACTGAGGTGTTATTAATGATATCCTGTAAGATCCAAACGAAAACCTATTTTGGAACTGCGGAATTTGATGCTTAATTGGGTATTTCTCTAAAGATTCTAAAGATAAAGAATGGAATGTCTTAGTTACGGAGCTCCTAATCATCTATCTTTGGTGCTGATTACAAAAAAAATTGTGTATGACATTAAAATATATGAAACTTCACCGAAAAAAATTGAAAGTATTTTAAACAATCGGATGTAAGAAGCTTTTGTTGTCAATTATTTGAGAAAATGTGGCGAGTATTTGTTTTTCGGGAAAGTGCATTTTACAAAGAAAAGTATGCTTTATATTAGTCTACCTAAATATTTCTATAAACTTTTTTCCTTCACCGATTTTAAAATACTTTACTAGGAAAACGTTTTACCAACAAGATAAATATCAGCGAATATTTCAGTTAACTTCAATACATCGTATGTAGTACTTACTATATCCTTTTATATACTATAGTAAATTATACATCTTTTATATACTACAATCTTTTATACACTACAATAAATTATACATCTTTTATATACTACAATCTTTTATATACCTATAATTATCCATCACATTTAGCAAGAATAACTATTTATCCTTGTATTTTTTTTTTGTATGATTCATAATGTAATGTTAGTTACACAACAAACCATGAAATATTAGTCTATACTAATAGTAAGAATCCTCATCAGAAATTGTACAATACTATAAGAACATTTATTACCCTTGTATTTGATTCTCTGTTTTTTAATGCATATTTACATATCAAATCATAAGGGTTGCACGGATAATGCACTTTTTAAAAATCACTGTTCTAAATTTATAATCTTAATTTTCCTTGACATTAAATATTTATTTTGTCAAAAATCCAGTTTTCAAAAATCTATTCTACCTCATATAACAATTGCAACCTATTGCATATAAAATCAATTCAGTTTTAAGCGACATTTTTTCCAAGAAATACATCTTTATAAATTTTAAAACTGCAGTAAATTTACGTTTTCACGAGGTTTAAGTGAGCGAAATGGAATTTATATTTTAAACATTATTCCTTATATTCCTTACTTTATCATCCAACTGAGGGAACTTCAATATTTAAACTGTTTTCTCTCTACTTTCCTGATGTCACAATAAAGACGATATATAGTTTTGAAACATTTTACTTTATTAATTTACAAGGATGTTCCTTCCGACTTTGAAAAATCTGATAGAATTTGCAAATATGCGTGCAACCAAGAGGCTCTGTTAAAGTATCTATTCCACACATACATTTTCCAAGTGGTATTTACTCTCACGAAGCGACAATCGCTTATTCATAAAGAAATGCAATGTGTCGTTTTAGTTATGCCAATGTAATACTTTTCAGATTCTCTTCAAATTATTACGAAATTTTAAATGAATTATAAAGTGATACATTTATATAAGACATATGTTTTGTAAATGTATACTATCTGTGGTGCATGAACATAATTGCGCAAATTTTCAAATGCGAAACTCGTTACAGATTCGGTAGATTACTGTGAGAAGTTAAGTAAGAAATATAGGGAAAATATTTTTCCACTATTTTTAAGTTATAATGTGTAACTAATTAATTTAAACTATTTCTTTTTATAATCTAGAAAATATAAATTTCATTCGATACTTTTGAACACATCTAATTTTCATTATCACTTCAACAGATGGGAAAAGAATTCTGCTCAGTATCAACTGTAATTTGATTGATGAATGGTAAGTTTAAAATGGGATAACAGCAGAAACGTTTTCAGCAAAGGAGAAAATGTCTTAGACAGAATAAGCAATATATATTAGGTAATATTTTATGTTAATTAACCTATTTAAAATTGTTTAGACAGATTAAGTAATATGTATAAAGTAATGCTTTATATTAATTAACCTATTTACCTATGGATAGGAACTTGATCCACCACTTCTGTTTTTTGTTAGCTCTCACCAGGATGAGAATGAGTTAAGAGTATTTGAGTCAGAGCTTTTGAAAGTCATGAATTGAAAGCTTTTGGCAATGATTGTCACTGTTATAGTATTTTCTTAATCAATTATGTTACATATGATCCTGAATTAGCCATTTTACTATATGAACTAAATCGCACGCTTTATAAAAGTAAATTGAGATACGCTTGGTTAGATTGTTTAAAATTTCCAGCATCGAGCTAATTTAAACTGTAAGTTCAGTTTTCTGTTACTCGCTGCCCCGCAAGTGGGGAAGTTTTAGTTTGTAAGAAAAAGCCATGCATTTGTTAAATTTAATGCATTGGATAAAAAGTTTTTTTAAGCCTTCTCAGTACTCAGTAATTATTTCAAAGACGGGGCGATATCTATCTTGTCTGTCTTAATAAAGCTGAAGAACTTTAATTAATTTCAGATAGTAATCCTAAAGAGCAATCAATGAAGTCCTAAAATTAGATCAAGGAAATAATGCTGATAAACAGAATTACAAAAAAGATTTTATTCAAAATTTAATTTCATATACTTAATTTAAGAATCCCGGTGGCGCAGGGGCTAGTGCTTGGCGCAGCAGCACCGCAGGTTTGGGGCTCGAACCCGGGCTGGGCAAGGTTGACTCGGCCTTTCATCCCTTGATTTTCCATCTCTTGGGTCGATAAAATGAGTACCAAGTTCGCTTGGGGACTAAACACTAGGGTTCCTGCGATAAGCTGACCACTTGTTCAGGGCATATGCTTACGCCTCCTGGAGCCCACGGTCAAGAAAGCAATTTTCGGAGCACTGCAGGCATTGGCCCATTAGGACTGAGGACGACGCCACTGAGTTTAGTTTTTTTATACTTAATTTAAGGATGCATTTTCTTTTACTATTTAATTAAATATTAAAATTAAATTAATTACTTAGTGACTTAATTAAGAATGAAAGTATTATCATTAACTATTAGTAACTGAAATCTCTACTTTTGTGTAGTACTGATGTCCATTAACGTTTCTCATTATATTCGCATAGATATCTCGAAAGTATTAAAACTTCTATGATATCTATCGAAATTAAACAAAGGGGAAATTATGCAGCTTCTACTTTTGCACTGCTTTTTCGAAAAGAGTAGGACAATTTTCGTAGTTTCAATATGCATGTGTTGATTTTGCACTTTTATTACATCAGTAGTTTATTGAGTAATATATTTAAGAATATTACAAATTTCATCACAGAATAAGTAATATGTATTAACCTATTAAAGATTTCATAAGCCATATAGACGTGTATCGCCGGCTGGTGAGATAATTATTCAGAGCCCTTAACATGTCTTCCATTGAGAAAACGGCTATTCTGAAGCTATTGTTAGCTGTGACTATGTATTGGCTGTATTAGCATTTTTTTCGGCTATTAAAATAACATCAGGAAAAAGGTAAAATAACCTCAGGCAAGAAAGAGAAATAATATAAATAACATGAAAAAATATAAAACGAGAATAAAATTTAAGCAGACAAATATTTTGTTTCAATTTAACTTGTATGAATTCCGTAAACTAGAATCAGATAGAATTACGTTTATACCAAGTTTTTTAAAACTCTAGAAATGCACTGTAAATGCAAACCAAACATGTACATTAAAATGTTTTATTAATGCAAATAAATTTTAATGCCGTAATGGGAATTATTACGATGTGTAACAAATATAGTAAAAAGAGACTCGAAGTTTGCAGTCTAGCTGACAGTAAAGCTGTTTGAGGAGGATTGCATGACTTTCATAACTGTTACACTAGACAGATTTCTTTAATCTCTTACTATAAGCGACTAACCAACAGCCTAATGATTGGCAATTACTGAAATTAAATGTATTAAATATTTCTTTAGTAGTAACACGAACGTTAATATCAGCAAATTATATTAACAAATTACGCTTTCTGCACAGAATTTATTTTTATTATGAATGAATCAATAAACTACTTAAAATAGATTTTGGATATTAAATAAAATACGCAGACAGAGTCATGACTACATTACTTTCTTAGTGTTTCGCAATGAAAAGTGCAACTTGTTACAAAATCCATTAAACTCTTTTTAGTTTTCAGGACATATGGATATAAAATTTTGAATGTTAATCCAAGAGCTGTGCAACTAAGGTTTATCATATATGAATGATAATATTCTCTCTACTAGGGGAATCTTATAAATGTTTAGACATGTAATTTTATTATTTTCGTTTTAAAAGTAGTAGTGTTGAGAATATTTTAAAAATAGCATTTTCTATCATTTTAAGCTTTTACTGTACAGATTTCATTGAATAAGCAATTAACAAGCATTATTAAACAAACCTTTATTCATAATGTATGTAAATCAAAATCATAAACCCTATCGTAATTAAAAATGATTTTTCTTTCTTGTTTTCTTACCTGATGAGTACCAAATGGCTCCGTGATTATCATGTCTCCGAAAATCTTTCGACAGTACATCGCCATTTTGGCCTGCTGTTTCGTTCTGTTAATAAAATGGAATACATATTTCAGAAAACAGCAGTATGATTTAATACATATTTAAAATAAGCTCACAGAAAGAAAATTCTCAACTCTGTTCAAAATAATTTATCATAAATTTATATTTTGCTATTTCAATCTTCGGCGAAAAGCTTTTACAGCTTGATGTAGAGGCTACTCACTATGTTGTAAACAAACAAATCATGTTTTAAATGTCTTCGTTGAATACTTGAGTTTCAGGATAGTGTCCATTTTGACACTGACCTCAACGGATACTTTTATATCAATAAATATCAATAAATAATTTCATTTGCAAAACTGAAAAGTAATCTGAATTCTTTAAAACGGCATTTATGGTATTAAATGAAGCAAATTTAAAACGAAAGCCTTTTGGTTTACTTTTAATGTACTGAAAAAATCTGATGTGTACACCACATGACTTCCTTGTACGGAATATTAAATTATACGCATTTTTTCTTGCATTTCATTTAAACTTATTGGATTCAATTAAATCTACTTCGCCGACAGCGCATAAACCACAATAGAATAAATGCATTCTTTACAATTCACTCTAGTATTTGTTTACCATAGCGACACTGTGGCGCTAGATTCATTTAACAGTATTAATAATTATATAACAGTTAACTTATATATTTCGTTCATATTATAACTCATGATGCACAAAATTTATATCATTTAAAGAATAGAAACATCATTCTTTAAATTCTTCTTGAATAGAACATGTGGCAACGATTATCTAATCGTTGCCAAATTCTATTCAAATACTATAATAAAGCTAGAGAATGATGTATAAAAGAAATTAAGCAAAAAAAAAAAAAAAAAAAGAAACAGTTTTTCACAGACGATTGAGTATTTCTCATTTCAATTAATTCAGTTCTCACTTCGCGAGAGAAGGCAAAAATACATAAAAACTCAAAATATCTATATTAAAAATTACGAAGTAAATTCTTAAACACTTATTTCCTATTATTAAAAATTCCAGAAAGGATTAAGCATGATTTAATTGGCATAATAAATGAATAGGCGTTATCTTTGTTGTTGCGAAGCTAAGTTTCTCTAGATTGGCAACAAATCCACTAGTCTCCTGTTTCAAATGTAAACATCAAATGGCCGCCATTAAAAAAAAGGCTTAGCGGCACTTAAACAACTTTAAAATTTGATAATTCTAAAAATATTGCATACACAGATTTACTAAAGGCATAAAAATCCTTAACCGGAAGATAAAAACAACATAATTCAATCATTTTTAAAGCAAAAAATGTACAATTTACAAACATATAAGAGTAAAGAAACTGAGATCACTGAGCCGGGTAACAGAGTGGATATATATATATATATATAAATATTATATACGTTTGGTGCGGCCGATTGCAACCAAAATACGAGGTGCACATCTACATGTTATAGCAGTCCTATATACAAAATTTCAACGTTCTGAGGCTACTCGTTTTTGAGTTATGCGAGATACGTACGTACGCACGTACGTATATACGTTCGTACAGACGCCACGAAGCAGTTTTATAATTTAAAGCAGTTTTATAATTTTTTTGAATGAAACGAGTGTTTTATTCTGTCCTTACATACAAATATCACGGAAATACATCGTTAAATTTCATTCGATAGCGGTGAAAATGGATATTTTCGTTGAAATATGCTGCCTGAAACTTTTCGCGATTACAATACTTCCTTTTTACTTCGTAAAAGGAAGTAAAAAGATAAATTGAATACAACAATTATTATGTAACTGCAGTTAATTGAAAGATTCAAAGTTAATTAATAATAAAAAAGTTAATTAATTAATAATTCCTTAATAAAACAAGTAAAATATTCCTGGAAATTTTTCGTGTTTGAATACAAAATCTAATGAACTCTTGCTTCGTTAGGAAAGATTAGAAAGCGATACAGAGAGCATAATACGTTAGGAAGAGCTTAGCATCAAATGAGAACGATGGTCCAGGACAGAAATGACTGGCTATGTACTGGTGTAGAACATAAATGATTAAAGATGTGATAGCCTAGGACAGAATGAAATTAATTTCTGTTGAAATAGACATTTTGTATAAAATATTGATCATTTTCTGCTAAATTATCCCAAGACACTAAATCCGTGGGCTAAATGATGAAAGGGAAATTAGAAAAAACAGCATTAAAATCCTACTGATGATGAAACAGTATTCTGTGCATTGATGTAAAAAATATTACCTGAGAAGGCGAAACCACAAAAAGTTGTATAATAAGTAATACGCATTAAGTAACTTGCGGTCAGGTTTGATCTAAGATATACTGAAGGTGGAAATTCACAGACCATTTAATAGGGTTTTGTGTGTATTCTGGTTGGAGACATGACTACAGACTATTTAGATAAAAAGCAGACCGATGTTGAATGTAGGCCAAATAATATTGGGAGATGTAATTTATAAATTGGTAGTTTCATTTCTATTAATTTGTTTTTGTGATTTTATTTCTATTGATTTGTTTCGTTTACACGTTTGTGTTACTTATGATTTGTTTAATGCGATTATTATAATGGGGGAGTATGCAGATTGAAAGTTTACTACATGACAATCTTAATTATGTTAAATAATGTCAAACGGAATTTTTACGACTGAAGAATTTCTATGTATCGTGAGAAAATTTACAAAAATCATCCAAAAACTAACGCATATCATACTTAAGCGTTTATTACTCGATACGTTTAAAGGAGTTTCCAGTTTGACTCATTTTTAAGATGGCTTAACCATTTTTAAGTCTGGTCCTCCTAATTTAAATTTTGTGCAGATGAATAGAAAGATTTGAATCAATTGAAAGGTCTTTTGAAATAAGGTGTGCTGAATTTGTAAACAAACCTATATAATGACAAATAAAAGTACAAAGAATGTGAGAAATATTCCAATGGAAAATCGTGCTCGTCAACACGAAAGAATTTCGCCTTTATTAGGAATATCAAAAGTTTCACTTTAAACAGTACTGTGGGTTCTTTACGCTTTACAGATTTTGATAGTCTGAATCTGTGTAGTGACAAATAGACGAAATTGAGTAATTATTGAGCTTAGAAATTGAATCTGTAACACTAAAATTCTTGAAAAATCTTGGATATAAAATTTCGCTTATTCGTCAAATAACGAAACTGCTTTTAGTTTCAAAATTTCCTGTAATCTTTACACAGCAGTTTTTTACCTTTCATCATGCTATTTGGGTATTTTCCGTCTTTGACGCAGGAGATGTGCTGAGTGTGTTAAGAGTAACAGTCACAGGTAAGAAAATAAATAAACCACAAAATTAAATTTTCAAAAATATAAAAGAGATAAAAATGATACAGTAATTTTAATATTCATCTTAGACGTTAAAGATCTGTCTATACGATTATGTTCTGACATTATTTTCATCTGAAACAGGCTTATTGACGAAATTTCCATTCGGTGCTGTTGAGACGATGTAAGGTTAGCGACAGAATGGAACGTCCTTGCAATGTAGTAGAAATAGTTATGACGAACGCACGGTTTTTATAAATCAACTTTATATTCCCTAAGGAATAAGTGAATTACTTGACTCTTATTATTCATTTCATTTGGCTGTCTTTTAATGCATATTGTGTTTTGGGCGTGGAAATGAACATAAAATTTTGCTTAGCCTTGGAAATCATAATTATAGTATATATGTCTTAATACCAAATTGTGCTGAATTCAGAGTTTCGAAACCTTTCACAAAAGAAAACCACACCCCTACATTAATAATGCAGTCACGTTGAATCCTTTTACGAAGTGAATTTCAAGCTCTGTCGCATTTAGAAAACTATTCTTTTACTCTTATAAACCGTTTTGGGAAGTAGTTATTTTTTATGCAACAGCCTATATTTATTTTTAAGTAACTTATAACTGAATTACTTCACTTCAGCTGCTCGTTAAAAATTAAACTTTGAAGTCTGCTCTAAAAACTAGGGTTCTTATTTAGACACTCATGAAAGCACACTATTTTCACACTAAAGTAAGTAAAACTATTTCGAGGGATTATAACGGAGCGAACATTCGGCTCCGTTAATTGCGATTAAAGAACAAACATGTAATTCCTTATATAATGCAAATGAAATAACACTAATAAATTTTTTTGTCCATTGTGCTTTGTTTAAGTAAAGTTTATTCAGTTAAAATATGAATTACATTTTCATAAAATATTACTTTTTTTGTGCGAAGGAAGTATTGTAATCACAAAAAATTCTGGGTATCATATTTCAACGAAAATATGGTGTCCGCCGAAAACTTCGCTGCAAAAACATAGCGGACAAAAACCGTCGAGAAGAAAACAATGCAAGGGGAAAACACCGTGGCACAAATCATCGTGGGAGAAAATAAAGCAAAGAGAAAACATCGTAGTTCTAAAACAGCGTGATACAAAATAGCGTCGTCGAAAATAAAGTGGTTCAAAGACTTCGCAGTTTAAAAACATCGTCGTCGAAAATATCGTGGTAAAAATAAAGTACCTACAAATCTTCGCATGACGATAACATCGCACACATGCGTTTTTCAGGATTGTGAAATGATACTGTCATAATGATTTGTGAGCGCAAGATTGAAGGAAGGATAATTTTTACTTTCATATTTTTTTATTTATTCATTTAGCTGACAGGACATTTAGCTGACTGGGACACTTAGCCGAGAGGACATTTAAACGACAGGGACACTTAGCCGACAGGACATTTAGCCGACAAGAACAGTTAGCGGACAGGACATTTTGCGGACACGGACGGTTAGCCGACAGGACAGTTAGCCGACAGGACATTAAGCCGACTATGAGTCTGGCCCTTCCCAATGCTTTCAAATTTCTAATACTTTCGCATTTCATTCCTATTTTTCTCAACACGTCATGCTACACACATTCTCGTATAAAGTCGTTTCACTCCTCTCACTAATGAAATTTCCTTATACAAATAATTAGGAAAAGAGAAATTCTATGTATATTTTTGAAGTGAAATTTTTTTGAAATTATGCTCCATTCTAATTCCAGTAAATAATACTCAAAATGCGTCCGCGCAACCCCAACTCGATCCAAATCATTTAGTAGGCGCGGCTAGAAAATAAGAGTAGAGTTGCATATCAGCACCGATTTCGATATATGAAGAATGTAAAATGTAGTTTTTGCGGAAATTTATTCAGTTCTGAATGAAAACAAAACCTTAAAGAATATTTTACTTCCAAATTAAAAATTATGCAACAGTTTAGTGCTATACACATTAACCTAAGTAAGTATTTTAAGCAAGAGGCATGGTCAATAAAATGTTACAGAATTTTTATCTGAAGAATTGTGGCATGAACTGCCTATTATAGGAATAATTTAAAGCTTTGTTTGGCTTAAAAATTATCTTGCTTAATTGTTTTTAATAAAAAATAAAATATGTTTACTCAACTAACCCTTCACCGCCAAAGTTCCTATAGAAGGTATAATTCAAGAATAACAATAATTTTTATTTCATTATTCGGATTTTTAATGACAGGGAAAGGAAATTCCAGTAGTGGGAGAAGCGAAACGATTTTTCTAAGAAAAAGAATGTAGCATGATGTGTTGGGTAAAACAGTAATGAAACGTAAAGGTATTAGAAATTTGAAAGCATTAGGAAGAGCGAGTTTGGAAAATTAATATCATTAAGTAAACAAGGAAAATTATTAATGATATGAAAGTGTTCAAAGGAAATCAGTTGATTAAATGAAAAATCTTTACGGACAATTTTTGCAGATCCCATATTAAAATAGAACTAAGTCACCGTCGTACTTAGCTAAAAAAATTCTTTTTTCCTTTAGAAAATTAATTCATATTCCCTGACGAGAAATTTCAACGCATTTTTCAATTTGGCAATTATACACAAAACAGCACGATGCATATCAAACAATGCCAAATTACACATGAATTCAAAGCACATATGAGATCTTTAAGAATCAAAAAATGAATTTTACTGATAGGTGAAAAAATGACTTAAATATTGTACTTATGGAGAAGGCGAGAAATTTTGTAATTGGTAATAAGTTTAAATAATTAATCGGTACGTGTCAGTTAAACGTCACTGTCGGCTTAGTGTCCTGTTCACTAAATGTCTTGACAGTTAAATGTCCTGACGGCTAACAGTGTCGGCTAAATATCTTGTCGGCTATGTGTCCTTGTCGCTATGTGTCCTTGTCGGCTAAATGTCCATGTCGGTTAAGTGTCCTTGTCGGCTAAATGTCTTGTTGCTAATTGTCCATGTCGGCTAAATGACTTGTCGGCTAAATGTACGTGTCGGCTAACTGGTGTGTCTCGTCGGCTAAGTGTCTGTGTCGGTTAAATGTCCTGTCGGCTAACTGGTGTGTCTCGTCGGCTGTCACCCACCACCCCTGGAATGCCCTTGCAGTACGTGCGTGGTACTCGAGAGTTTGATCTAGTGGTGACGTAATTTTCGGGGCCATAGAAACCAGCAGATTTGCAAATCACATTTTGCCATCGGACATTTAATGGGTTCTCCTATGAGCAAGGGCAAAATGTCTTTAAGACCTGCACCAAGTATAGATTTATTCAGGCATCACCTGATCACATTTTATATTGTTTTGATTTTACTTTGTACAAGATTTTATCAGAACCTCCTAGTTTTAGAATTTTTGGAAGTATTTGAACTCATGAATGTGCTACAAATGGATTAGACCCGTTCGGGAATTGGAAACAACAACAAAAGATCTCAGAGAGAGCAAAACCTTCAAATTTTAGATACGCTTTGCATTGCGTTGTATTGTTGTAACGTTCTTAATAGTTTGAAGTATAATTACTTATTCTGCTCTATGATACTGAAAAGAGCTGTACGTGTGCTTTTGTAGAAAATTTAGGAGCTGCAAAGTATTTCTTTTGGGAAAAAATAATCCAAGAAACCTTACGCACGCGAAAGAATGTTCATATAAAATCCAAGATGACGTTTCTCAATCATTTTTACCTTATTTCCTCAGTTCCATTTTTGGTCAGAATGTTATTTCTTCCTGAGGCATTTAAATTTAAACTATTCGTATAACAAAGATAAGTTTAAAATTTATTAGTAAACATTTAATATTTGTGTATTTACTAATGCGTACGTTGCATTAAAATTAAATAATGCTAATTCTTTGAAAAACTGGAAAAATATTATATAAGAAAGAATTTACTTACGAACAATGGTTTTCAAAACTGAGTATGACAGGATAATCTGATGTCTTAAATGCACAGTCTGCAATAGCTTCTAAGACTTCCTGAAAAAAAAAAAAATTAAAAAAAAAAACATTAGTTCCTTAATTAAAATTTTTTATGCAACTTTGCAAACACAGTTAAAGTTTTTAAATCTCAGCATCGTAAGTACTCCTAAGCAAAAGACACACTTAGTATCTAAAATGAGTATTAGGAAGTAGAAGTAAATAAAAAAAAATATGTTTATTTTCTACATTTCGCACGTTTACTCTTTTTTGATTTAATTAAGATTAGCTTTTAAAACAATTAGATAACTTTTTTTTTCTTTTTTTTTTTTTTTTTTTTTTTTTTGTTTTGTTTTTTTAACAGCATTGCGAATTGGAATATTTTTGCTCGCGTACAAAGTCTGTTAGTTCGTTTTAGATTAAGCAAAACCTTTCTTTCGAAACTGATAATAAACTATCAACTGACAAACATTAATGCCCTGCTTCCATCAGGTTATTATGACATGAAATAAAAATGAGAAAACAAATATATGTTAGCAAATGGTACACCGAAACAAAATAAATAAAAGGTTTCAGATTTTGTGTGAAACAGAAAGGAAAGTTTTTTTCATTTACACACACGTAAACGTTTCCAGAGCATTGGATAAAGTTTCACAAAATATGAACTATAAAACTAATTTGGGCTTCCAGGTGCCTATATTCGGGTGGAGGACTACGTTATTCAAAATTTAATAGCTCTAGGTACCGTTGTTTTTTTAACAGTGCGAAGAACATACATGCTATATTCATGAAGATTCTTCATTACTGATTTTTTTTAAATATAATACACGCTGATAATATTTAAATGGGAGCAATTTGAAAAATGAAACTGATATTTATAGTGAACCGACGCAAAATATCATTTGGACGCTAATCATCCTTCTGGGCTAACGTCTCTTTGCGCTATAAAAGAAAAAGTTATATGTCTGGATCTACTGAGCCGATTGATGCTTCTTCACTTGCGTATTTCATAACTCAAAATCTTAACTTATGATGAATATTAGAGTTATATATAAATTTTTTCTAACGTAGGTGTTTTGACACAAAATTGGAATTTTTCTGAAGAATATACATATTTTTCTCCATATATCGTTCTTACTCCTTGTTTTTTAAATTTGTAAATTAAAATAATAAATTTGAAATAATAAATTTGTAAATTGAAATAATTTTTATAAATTTTCCGAAAAACATTTAAAATTATAATATATAAAATTTTTACAATAGATATATCTCTAGTAGCAGTAGTAGTAACGGAAGACGTAGGGCACCATCCTCTACCATTGCGGTTAATCGGTTTTGCCCACGTCCGCCCTTTTTTAGCATTTATTAATAATTCTAAAATTTTTACATTGCCATATGGTGTGGCTGATTTACAATACAGTCAAAAGTCGTTAATTCGGACACCCATAATCCGGAATGAATAATCCGCACCTCAAAGATACAAACTTTCTGCGCATGCGTCGCATTGACGCATGCGCGTAAGACCTTTACCGCTGCGAATTTGCGTGTGCGCGTGCGCAAAATACGTTTACGAATGCGCGTTTAATGTACAACGGACGGGATAAGCTAAGCTAAAATTATCTAATTATCTATTTCAGTTAATGTTGCAGATTGCGTTGTTCCTTAATCTTCGAAATGGATCCGGATTATTATTTTTTGCAGACTGTTAGAGCAATTTTATAAAAGTAAGCTTGAACTTTTGATTATGTCAAATAGAATTTCCGATATATATTTACTAATATGTAAAGGATATACAAAGCGAAAGTATCGTTCGGAGTCCATTAAACAAAAAATGGAATTGCTGCAAAAAATGGATAAAGGCATATTCTTTGTTTATCTAAACTTAAACGTTTGTTTATCTAAACTTTGTTTATCTTTAACGCCGCAGCGGCGTGCAATGAATTGGAAGTTGATTTATCAGCACTATCCTTATCTTGAGGGCAGATGTTTTTATTTTATTTGGCTTATAATTGCTTACTCAATGTAGTATTTCATCTCAATGTACTCCGTCTTTGATATGATTTAAATCAAATGCCTCGTCATTATAATTCGCTTCCGATAGCGAAGAAAGTGACAGAGTTTATTGAAAATGAATAAATTTCGATTGACAAATTAGTCGGTATTCTCGACACAGCAATTATAGGACTTGAACAGCGGACCTTTGTAACTGAACAAGAAATTATGTCTGTTTATAGAATTAAAGAGAATGTATATAACATAAAAAAACGAAGCAACTGAAACAACTTACATTGAAAGAAATGTTTAATAAAGTAAACCAATAAATATTAAGCTTTTTTTGTCAATTTTGATACCCTTTAGATCATAATTGTTCTTTATTTCGTAAATTACGGTTTCATATTTTTACTTTTATAATTTCTGCATGCCATTTTACCAGATTTAAACTGATGATCTATAATCCGGAAAAATCGATAATCCGGAATCGCCGAAGTCCCGACGAGTCCGGATTAACGACTTTTGACTGTAGTTGTATTCACATTATTAACATAACGTATTACATAAATTTTAGTTGGAGAATTTTCTCTAATTAATTTCTTTCTTTTGTTCTCTTAATTTTTAAGCATTATATATATTATTTCTTTATTGCGAAGTTTCTCTTTTGTTATTTGCATCATTTCAACTAGAATGTTCTCTAAGTCCTCTTGCAAAATTCCTTTCATTTTACTGCAGTTCTTTCACGAGTTTCTCGGTTTCAAGGTTTCTATTGTATTCCTCATATTATACCTTATATATTATTGTAATGTCTTCCAGAATAGTACCTTCTCTTTCCAAAGTTTTTTTTCTAGATTAAAGATGTATATCTAGGTATACCTGCAAATAATTAGAGATTCTATTCAAAATTACCCAAAATATACGTAAATTTATATTTACGTATATTTTGGGTGGGCCTTGTGAAATTCGGCCTATTTGTCATAAGCGATAATAACGCCAAATGTGGTTTACGCCTAATTCACTTTGTAATTAGATTTTATGTTTTACTTGATTCCAGCAAAGAAAACTAGGGCTATTTGCCTAAGGAGAGGGATGCCTTCGTGGAGGACCTTATAAGGAAAACTGGATCGTAAACACGTTATAAGTTGGGAAAACCACAACAACACTCATGCAACTAGCCCGTTCACCTGAAACCGAGCACAGGTCGGAACTACCAGAGTTCAACAACTTTACGTTGGTGAGCCTAAGCACTTTTAACATATGGTTAATATTAGCCAACGTCCTGTTCTCTTGAGAAAGAACCACGTGGGTCCGCTGATTGACCGGAAAGTAATCAACAAAGGAAACTCGTTAAGGACCTCCCTCCCCTTGTTTGGTTTTCTTACAACGAAAACGTAAAAGGAAAGGAAGAGGCTTTTATCTAAAAGATGCCGTAGGTATAAGTCGCGCCAAGCGATTGTGTGATCCGCATCACGCTGAAATTTAGTCTGTTCGTTCTGCAGCTGAACTGATGATTTACTGTTATTTAATTCAGAAATCTTTGTTTAAGTTTCAAAATAAATATTCAAAACACCACTGGTATAATTACTTTCCATCTCGGAAATTCACTTACGGTACATCTTAGTTATGATCTTCAGTAAATTTCAATAATTATTTTGAATGAGAAATTTTTAAATAAATTTTTATCAGAATTATTCATGGGCAGTTTCTTTATTTTCACTTTTTTAATAATACCTTATAAATAGTTATTGATAATTTAAAAGAAGCTGTTTTTTAAATTATATAAAGAAAATTAATCAAAAGTTTTAAAGATTTTCTTTCTTTTTTTTTTTTTTTTTTTTTTTTTTTTTTTTTTACGTAAGAGTATATTTGCTCCTTTGCCATTTTATCATCTGTTAGTTTACTTAACTTCATTTTGTATTCAAAGAAATTTACTTTGCAGATTTTAAAATTGTGCATCGTATATGCATTCAGTACTTCCGATTGCGTTAAAAATATAAATAAAACATGCTATCTTCTACTAAAAAAGCCAAAGCAACAAATTAAAATATTTCTGAAGATATTTCATGATATATTTTTTAAATAAATTGTTGTTTATATTTCAAAAAGTATCTAATTACCATCAAAGACCCTTTGTCTCAAATCAAAATATATTTTTATGCAAACAGTGAATTTGGAAAAAACACATTTTTAAATGTAAAATTTTGATTTTTTAATACTTGAATTCAGATCTTTATTAATGTAACGAATGATGACTACTGTCACACTTATTTACGTTTCAATTTCTGTTATATTAGAATTTATTAAAATTCTTCTAGTAAAAATTTAAAAGGCTCTCCTTTTTGGACATATTACTAACTTTATATCAATCGAAATTTTAACACCTGAAAACTACTTTTTCTGTTAACTCTGCCAAAAGAAAAATTAAGTGAGAGACATTGACAATTCAACCATTGCCTCTGTTATCTGTCATATTCCTCGCTTTAGGTTTCGGTGAGTTTACGCTTTTCTTAGTTTAAAAATCTAGGTTTAGATCCTGCGCATAAATTAGGATGGTTGATAATTTAAATATTATTTAAATTTGGCAAAGCACATGGAGGCTATCTGCCTTAGGGAAAGAATGTTTTCACGGAGATCCTTCTAAGTGGCTTGTATTCACGCCGCACACAGGAAAATTACGAAAACAGAAATTCAGCCAACTTGTTGGCCTTGGTTGCTTTTCGGAACAAAATATCAGCAGACTTATATAACCGCTCTGCCACCTGGTGGAAATACTTGAATTAAGAGCCAAATTATTAGATTTAACTAGCATCTCACGTTATTAACCAGTTATTATGATTTAAATCCTTACTATAACTATTTTTTCCGTATTCCTCACCAGAATACAAATTAGCTTTTGCTGTATTGAAGCTGAGGGTTTCGAATCTTTAGTTGAGATAGTTTCTAGCATTCGCGTCTTTCTATTATTACTATTTTTAGCTAGCTCTGTTAAAAATATTTCGGCTTTAGCAGTCATGCTAAAGGATTTTGCCGAAGCATATTTATATGCTCTGGAGCACATTTATACAATA